CCTGACATTTAGTCCTTAAAAAAAGTATCAGAAACGGTGTCTTTTAATTGGCTAGATAAAATAAAAACCCCCAAAACACACTGTTTCAGACTTTTCGAGTATAACAGGGGATGATCACTGAAGAAGAGAATCCACTCGAAAGGAACTGCTATTGAGCGCTCTCTGATTTACGTTATATTCAAAGATTTATTTGTATTTTCATTTTTTCACATAATTTCAAAACCCTAACCTACTAATTAGACTGAATAGATTTAATATAACAGTGAACAACCATGCCCCGACGATATCACAACAATATTTTGTCCCTCGAAAAACATAAAAAAGCTTTATAGAAGCTTTTGTTTTTTTAAGGGAAATAACTCTCTTCCTAACCCTATGTTACTTAAACAATATCTTTAAGTAAAATTTAAACATAGAGAGGCGTTTAAGGAATATTTGGAAAAAGGGGAAGCCACCTTGTACTAGGCAAAACAAAAATACCTGGAGGCATTCAGGAATTTTTTCTATTAATATTCAGAAAGCTACATTTTCTTATTATGAACACAATATTAAAAAACGCCACTGAATGTTTTTCGAAGGAGCTGCGATATAAATACAATAGTATTTAAGAAAACTCACTTCTTAACGAAAATCCTGGCCTAGATATCTTCAGTTTCTCCAACAAAATTAATGTTGACGTTGTAAAGCTCTTCAAGGAAAGGATTAGGGTCATATATATGGAGTATATTGTCAAACTGGATAATGTTCTTACTCCTACGCAGCCCATAGAGCCCGTAAACATAGAGGGTTATTTTAGGGCTGGGGGTCTGTCTCTAAACTCATTAAAGAGGCTATTTTACTATTACAGTCTTTCTACATATAAATTTAAATAAAGTAAGTATATATACATATCTCTAAGTACAAAAAAGGGGTAGTATAATGGAACCTTGCAAGGAATCTTTTAAATGCTGTAATACAACTAATTTTCCCTGTATGGACTAAAAGCTTCTGATCATCTAAAAAAATATAATTACAGATAAAGTAAAGTGGACGAATAATTAAAATCTATTATGATGACTGTATAATTTTTTGAGTAATCTTGATACTTTATTATAATTTGTGAAAAAATACATTTCAAAGATGCCCGTGGCACAGACATAATCCTTGGCATAACTATACAATTTTCAGTCAACAAAACTTTCATAAAACGAACTAATAAAATAAAACATCTAGCAGAAGTCCGCGATATAGTCTGCAAAGAGGGATACAGAACACCATCAAGAAACATTGCTGGGCGAAATCTGACACTAGCCTTGTTTAAAGAATCACGCAGTTATGCATTTGTTTATTTTTTGGGTTTCTTTTTTATTAATTAATGCTTTTTATGTGCTTGAATATAAAGTCTTCTTTTACAATGTAATATAGGTTACTTCTATCTTAAAAATATATATATATGATCCTTCTTTTATACCGATCTTTTGGCCTCGAAGTAAACAAAGAAAACTCTTTTCCGCTTTCCTGTATAGTCAAGGCGTACTACCTTCCCTTCCTGCTGCTACTAAACTCTTTTTGTGCCGAGCTTTCTTCCACAGCAGCTCAAGCTGGTCTTTCGAGGTTTGGAAGACTCAAATACTCAAAAGAGAGGCACTTGTCCTCCGGCCTCATTAATTTTTCTAATAAAGGAAAGGAAGTTGGAGGCAATAAATTATATGGCTGTCCCGTAAACTAAACGTTGACCACCAACAACTTCACTTTGTATGGCGACGCGAGTTTCGTGGTGCCTCTGAGTAGAATTGTGTTGAACTCCGCCAAAAATTTTTAAAACCTAGTCTTTGTCAGCGATTTGAAGAATATTTGAGACCCTATAGTTCGCATCTTTAGCGCATGTATGGGCGATACGCAGGCAACTTTTAAATCACTAGGCAGCTAGGGCGCCCCCCTTCCCTTGTTGTCGGATTAAACCTAAGTTCTTACTAATAGCGCCAACAACACAAAGGGCAAAACCGAAAAAAAAGGGAGTTATCCTTATTTAAGGCAATCAAGTCTTTTAAATACTTTTAAAAAAAAGTTAAAGAAGTTTTTCCATTTATATATGTTTAGATTAATTTTAACATTCTTATACCAAAAATGTTAAATTCGATTTTGTTTAATAAAAGTCAGTCGAAAATTACCATCTTTGTTTATAATATTTGGTTAACATAGTTCATTCCAAACGTTTAAGATTGCATTTATTATTTATGTTAGTATATGACTTTTTCAATTGGACTACCTTTAGATTATTCTGTGTGGATACTTTTGTTTGTGTTAGCGTTTAGGGATTCTTTTAGAATTTACTTTCTATATAACATGTGGCGCTGGTATGGGTACTCATACATTTACACCTTTTTTCCCCTACTTCTTTAGTGTTATGAAAATTACAACAATATTACTTAAAAATGTTAGAAAAAAAAGTGTGCCATAAAGAGGTTTTAGAATACTAGAAAAACGAAGCTTGATTATTGAGTTGCAACCTTCACCTGGACCGAATTGTATGCAGCTGCGAACCTGTGAAGTATTTAGGGGTTATAATTCCACTATGTGATACTCGAGCGGTCAAGACGGAAGTTAAAGCATACTGCCCTCTTTTTTTAATAAAGAACAAACTTTCGTTATGCAACAAGCAGTGTCTAATTTACAGTGTATTCGGTCAGTTATAATGCAATCATCTGCTGCTGTGCGTCATAAAGGCCTCTTGGTTTCTGCGAAACGAGGGTTTTTATAAACATATGGTAATACTACAAGTAGAGTATTTAACCTAAACTTCTAAGTTATTAGACTAACATTAATCTTAAACGCAATCTGGTCATTTAGATTTCTTGTTAGTTTTAGCTCTCTAGACTAAGATATTATTAAACAATAACACTAGGTCAATGAAGGCGCCAGTCGAGAAAATAGCAAAAAATGTAGAATATATATATATATATATATACGAGCTTTATAATTAAGGTAAATATTTTTTACAAATTCGACGCTATTAAATTATTAGGCACCTAACAAACCTTCATAAATAAACAGTAATACCGCTATCACATGGGCTATGTTACAAAAAATGCGTACTTTAAAAAATTTAGTTTTTGTACAGAATGGCCCTTCCTAAATACATCAATACACCTGAGTAGAACTATTAGATACCCTTTTTAACGCAATGCAACTTTATTAACGAACGGCTAGTAGAATGCTGGGAAGCAAGCTCAATTACAAGTCAATACCGTTTGCGTAATTCTCTATAGATCAAAATTTTTAATTACAGCTGTGTTAAGCCTAAGGCGTTTTAACAATAGTTGACAACATCTAGGCATAAACTATTTTTAATTCTTTTAAAAAGCTAGCGCTAATAGAGGGAAGCAAAGGTTAATGTGCACTATTTATAAACAGTAATTGTGTTTCTCGCCAGATATATTTTATATAAGAATTTAAAAAACCACTTCACTATATGCTCTCACGCAAGTTTAAGCACACACAAAAATTTCTTGTGTGATCTTTGCAGAAATTTATTTATACTCTTTTAGAAGGGCACATGTTACAAAAAATCAATACTGGGTTCCTCCATGGATTAATACTTGGGAGTTCCAGTTTAATGACAGGTGTAAGCCAGTTTAAACAAAATTATTATCAAAACAATAGAGAGACAACCTAGTGGGTGCATGTATACATAAAGTTATAATGGCCCCACAAAGCACATTCGTTGGTGCGCTCTACGTCCAGTTAAAAAGATAAAGTTGATCCTTTACGAGTTTCGCGGAAAAGGTATTACTGCTTTACAAAGCTTAAAGGATCTCCGCTTACTAATTAACAATTGGGTTAAAATTGAAGGCAAGGAAACTTATATAAGATTGCTGAGAAGACCAAATAACTAAATTAAAAAGACTTATTGAATGTTAGTAGATAACTGGTGTTTTTGCTACCAGGAATGTTTATAAAGTGAGGTTTATAATAAATATATAACAAGGTTTATGTAGTTCTACGTATAGTGTACTTCTTTAATTAATCAAGTTTACTTTAAAAACTGCGATTTATATAAACCAGATAAATGAAGTAGGTTAAATAATACATGTTATCCACCTGCCATAATAGTAAAATATTCGAAGGTCTAAAGGTAAGAACAATGCGCAGAATGTGTTTTATCAGGTGTAACACTGAACAGTTTGTTAAGTTAAAAGATCACCTTTAGGCAAGTACAATAATATGCTTACTTTTAAGAAGACAAAGCTTCTGTGACAAAAAATACATTGTGTAACACCAAGAGGTAATGTCACTTCTATGAAGATGACTGGCGTTGTGTATAAGGATAACATTCAATAGACGAATAGAGTAAAAGACTTTATGAAATATAAGACAATAAAAGGAACAGCAGGTATATCAGAACAAGAAACGGAAAGACTAAAAAAATACAAACAGAACATCAGATTACTAGATAGAATAAGCAGATCATACAAGAACAAGAAACCAGAACAGAACCCCCGCCTCAAGAAAAGGGGGCCCAGATCATGAAGAAAATAAACACGCTGGGGTTTTCTCCCTGGGAATGTAAGATGATGCAGGATGCATATACTTGTGAAAATACTGACAAAAATGGCTAAGTAGCCACACGCACTAATTAGAGGTTAAAAGGGGGTGTAACTTAGGAAAGGGAGGAGCGGAGCCTTAGGCACTGTGCAACTAAAAAAACTTTACTAATTAGTTGTAAACAAGTCGTATTGGTCAGAAATTTACTTTAGTAACATGAATAGAAGGCCGCTTAGTTAATTTATAATTCTGGTTTTTTTTCTTTTATAAATCATCAACCTCTTAGTAAATTATTACAAAGGCTCAAACGATGCTTTCATACCTAAAAGCTTCTAGTAAACCGCACACAAATTTTTTTTACCAAAATAAAAATTTCCTTTTATAAGAGCATAAAATTTTTTATCCAATAGTTTAAGCTGATATCCCCTTACTTGTCATGCTCAGCTATTACGAATGGGCTTGGTTTTTCTCTTAAAAATTTTCCAATTTATTTACTTTTTTTGTAGTAATGCTTCTTTCAGCCCGATCTCCTTCTTATTTTGAGATTGGTTGGAGGTAACAAGAACTTTACCAAATTCTTCACAATATATTATATAATCGAGTGTTGATAATTTTATAATAATATGTAGTTTGCGTTTTTAAATTGTTAAAGCTACGTTTTAGTTTACAATGATAAGTTTATTTAAATACCAGATCTTTGTTTATTTGCATTTAATTACATTTTGTAAAAAGTAATTTATATTCTTTTTATTTGAAGCAATTTATTTTAAATATCTTAATAAGGTATATGACCACCAACTTTACGGAATTTCAAATCGCTACCTGGGGCTCTCTTCTTGTTCATGAACTTATATATATATTGGTTTGCCTTCCAGGTAATTTCCGAATTGATAATTTATAACCATTTTTTTAACAACGTATCGTTTACTAACTTTTAAAGAAAGAAAATATAATTGTAGAAAATTATAAATTTATTATTTTATTTTTAAAGGATTTGTTTCACAATTTCTTCCATTTATGAAACGCTATAAAATTCAAGCTAATAGATCGGAAACTTTTGAAGCTCAATGGAAATGCGTTAAGCTTTTATTATTTAATCATTTTTGCATTCAGGTGGATTCTTAGTTATTATATATTTTATGAAAAAAAATTATTATTGTACTTTTATTTTATTACTATTTTTGTTCTTTCTGGGCGCTGACAAAGTTATATTTATAAATTAATTAAAGTAATAACATTTTCAATTAGTTGACATTTCGAATTATTAATATTCTTTGGTTTAATATATTAATTTGTAAAAGCGTTTTAAAATTCAAAAATTCTTTTAATTAATTTATATAATAATAATTTAATTTAATTTTTTTTAAGCAGTAGTAAATCTTATGTTATTTTTTTACGATAATTGAGTTTTTTTTGAACTTTGCAATCTTTCGCTTTCTTTATACTTTCTGTTAAAAAGCTTTTAGATTATTTTAAGATTTTTTTTAATAATTTTATTATTTTCAGATTACTATTATTATTATTATTAAAAAAACTTTTTTAATACCTCTTATTATTGTAGTAAATCTATTAATTTCAAATATTTATTTTATTTAAATATAAATTTTTTTAAAAAAGGCTCATTTATTAAAAAATTTATATTTAAGAATTTTTATCTTAATTATAAATATAAATTTTTATAAAAAACATTTTTTTAAGTAAAATTTAAATTCTAAATTCTTATTTTCCGATTTTTAGAAAGAAGAATTTTTCTATTAAAAATTTTAAATAATAAAATAAAAACTAAAATAAATTGATTATTATAATTTTTTATTAATTTTATTTAATAAAAATTTTTAACTATAGAAGATACTTCTTGAAAACTTGATTTTAGCTATTAAATTTATTTTTATATAAAAGATTTATTAAATTTATAATTTTTCATAACTTAATTTATTCATTTAATTAATTATAGTTTTCTTTTAATAGGAGAAGAGATTTTATTTATTCTCATTTATTTTATACAAAAGATATTAATAATTTATAATTTTTTTTAACTAAATTTTTTATTTTTTTGTTTAAATAATTTTTTTTAAAAAGTTTAAGCATTTCATATAAAAATTTTTTAAATTTGATTTTATATTTAAAAAGAATATATTAGAATTTACTATATTTTATAAAACTTATTTAATATGTTTTTTATTAATAATTATTTATAGTTTTTTAAGTTTAAGAATTGTATTTATTAATCTATTTTAATTTTAATAGAAATTTTAATTAAATTTATAATTTTTTTCTGTAAACTTTCTTATTTAATTCTGCTTTGTAATTATTTATATTTAATAATTTTTTTAAACAAAAGATTTTATTAAAAGTAACATTTTTCATATTAATATTACAATAAAAAAACTTTTTTATAATTTAAATTATTTTTAATAAAACTTTACTTATTTTTTTTTAATTATAAATATAATTAAATTTTTTTTAAAATTATTACTAACTTTTTGAATTTAATACTTTTAAAAAAAATTTTTTTATTAAAATTTATATTTTATAAATTTATATTTAATTATTTTTTATTTATAATTTTCTTATTTTTTTTAAATTATATCAATTTTAATAATATTATTCAATTTGCATTATAAATTATTAAAAAAGATATTTTTTAGAATTTATAAAATTTTTTTTATTTTTTTTATTTTTGGCTTGTAATTATTAATAGTTTACTTTGATTAATAATATAAATATATTTATAATATTAAATTAAACATTTCATCTTAATTATATATTAAAAAGATTTGACTAATTTTTATATTATATTTTAATAATATTTAATATTTTTTTTTTTAGAATTTATAATATTTTTTAAAACTTTATATTAATAATTATAGGTTTTTTTAACTAAGTTTTATAAATTTTATTACCAACTTTTCAAAATTAATTTATATTAAAAAAAAAGATTTTATTAAAATTTATAATATTTCTAAAACTTAAAAATTATTTATTTTAATTCAACATATGTATTATTGTTTACAGTTTTCTTTTATAATAATAAGTTTAAAAATATTTATTACTTTAAATTTTCAGTTTAAATTTATTATATTGATTTTATTAAAATTTTATACATTTCTTGAATTTAATATTTTTTATTAAAATTTATAATAACTTTTCGAAATTTAATGATTTTTTATGAATAATTATTTATAGTTTTTTTTTAGATTAATAAGATTAATAACTTTATTAAATAATTTCTTTCTCACATCTTTCTATAAAAAATTTTTTTTAGATAAATGTATATAAATTTAAGTTAAATAAACTTTTTATTTTTTTTTATAGCAATATTTTAAAGTTTATAGTATTCTTTAATATTTTAATTTTAATTATTTATATTTTTTTTAAATAATGTTTTAACATTTAATTAATTTAAATTTATTTTTATAATAATAATAATAATACAATGTATATTATTTTAATATAATTAAATTTTCTTTTTACTTATAATTATTATACTTTTTTTTAATCACAAGAAGATTGCGAATTTATTCAATTTTTTTAATTTAAATTATATTTAAATTTTTAATTTTTTTACTTAAAAATTTTTATTAGAATTTATTTTATTTTAGTTTTTTTTTTTTTATAATTCTTTATAGTTTCCTTTAATAATGGGGACTTACACTTACACACAAATTTTCAAAATCCCATTTTCCTATGAAACTATGCCTTCTTGGTATATTCTTCTCTTGCAGTGCGCGGGTCAGTCGAAATTTATTTATATTAGTATTAATGTCTAGCAAAAATAATTTAAAAAGATTTTAAGTTAATAAAAGATTCTATAATTAACGTTTCAATTTTTTATATATATAATTTTTATAACGTATTTTCTTGTATATGAATATTTTTTATAATTATTTTTTTTATTATGAACTTATTTATTTTTTATATTAAATGACCAGTATTTATGTGTTAGTAATTTAATGAGAAATAAAATAAAATTATTTTTTTTTATATTTAAATTTTTTAATAATCAATTAGGGTTGAATTTCTTATTAATGAATTTTTTTTTATTATAAATTTTCATCTTGTTTATATATTTTCATTTGTGTTAGTTAATGTAGTAATAAGATTTTTTTTTTATTATATTTATATATTTATTAATATGTCATTTTTTTTATTAAGAAATATATTTTATGCTTGTGAATATTTTTATTATGATAAATTAAATACTTAATACTTAATCTTATTAATTCATTTTTTTATATTATGCTTGTGAATATTTTTTATTATTATTTATTTTTTATAACTAAAAATAAATTTAAAATATTATTTTATAATAAAATTTTTACTAATTTATTATTTTATATTTCGAAATGTATTTTATGCTTGTGAATATCTTTTATTACAATTTATTTTGTTTATATATTAATATTATTATTACTAATTTAATTTGAAGAGGTTTGGATCAAAGTTTACAATTTTTTATTATAACAAAATTTTCATTATTTTATTTTATTATTTTTATATTACGAACTTTATTTCAAGCTTGAATATTTTTTATTATGATATGTTTTGTTTATACATTTATGTTATTATTAGTAAATATAATTCGTAGAAATTTTACTTAAGATTTCCAATTTTTTTAAAATTTTATATAATCTGTTATTTATATATTATGAAATTTATTTCTTTAAAATTTTTTTACAGAATTTATTTTTTTTTGTAAATATTGTTATAATTTATTTGTTTATATATTTTTATTTATATTTATATTATTAATTTTAATTCGTAGAGATTTTAAATAAAGATTTTCAATTTTTTTAATATTAACAATTTATAAAGTAAAATATTTATTTTATTACGAAACTTATTTCTTGTTTGAGAATATTTTTATTAGAACTTTTTTTTTGTTTATTCTTTTTAATTAAATTATATTGAAATGATTTAATAATATTTTTTCTTTTTTTTTCGATATCACTATTTTATAAAATAATTTCTTTTATAATTGAATTTTATTTTTTTTATTGTTTTTTTTTATATATTCTGATTATGTTAGTAAATTTTTTAAAAAAAAAAATTAAAAAATATCAATTACACTTTTATTTTTATTCTATTAAAAAAATATTTTTTCATTACGAACTTTCTTTGGTTAGTGATTATTTTTAATTATTATTTATCTTCTTTCACTATTATTTTAATGATTTTTTCAATTTTATTACAATTAAATTGCATTAAGTTTAAATTTATTAATGATTTATATTTTTTTTATAAATTAACAATATCTTAATTTTTTATAAATTTAATTTAATATTTAATTTATTTATTTTCATTTTTATATATCTTCTAATTTTAGGAAATATTTTGATTATTTTTAAAACTTAAACATTTTTTATATATATAAAAAATTTTGTAGTCTTTTTTTATACATGTTTGAAAACTTTTATATTATGCACTTTTGGCTTCAATAAAATATTTTTTTATATACTTTTTTCAAAATAATAATTTATTATTTAACTTTGCTTATACTTTTACTTTAATGAAATAATTTTTTTAATGTTTACTATTAATACTTTTATTTATATACTTTTTACTTTTACTTTTACAAAATTTTTTTATAAAATTATTTTTTATATACTTTTTTATAGGCTGCGCTCTTATAGAAGACACGTGGCATTACTTCATTCATAAACTGATGCACCACAAAAGTCTTTACAAATACGTTCATAAAGTGCATCACACTTTTCCAGCCCCATTTTCCTTAACGGCTGAATATGCGCACCCCGTGGAAACAATTGTGCTTGGTTGGAATTTTCTTATTTATTATAAGTATTTATATATATAAATTTTTAAAAATAAATAATAATAAAAAAGTAAATGTTTATATATTAAAAGTAATTTTATTCATATATGATATGATTATGCTTCTTTATACGCTAAAAGAGTTATTGTGCCCTTTTTTATATCTTATATATAAAAATGTTAAGAAAAAACAAGAAATACTGATAAAAAAGTAAATTTTTATATATGGAAAGTAAAAATTTATTATATATATATAAAAAAAAGTTAACGGTTTTATTATTTTTATATCATAATAATAATCTTTAATTTTTATTATTATTATAATATATATCTTATAATGACGTGAAAAAAAATTTTAATATGTTTTTGAAAAATCATTATTTATTATGTATATTTTAATAATTTATGAAATTTCTTATATAATTAATTTAAATTTATATATTTTATTATTATATTCTTTATATATTCCATTTAGATTATTATTACATATATTTTAATTATAATAATTTTAAATATTTTTTAATATATTTTAATGTATCATTCATTTTTATTATTATTAATAATTAATTATATTTTAATAATATAATTTTTATAAATCATTTATTATATTAATAACATATTATGTATTTCGTAATGGCTATATATTTTTTATATTCTTTTTTTTATATTTCTTATTTAAAATTTTTTTTATTATTGACTAGAAATTTATTTTTATTTTATATTAAAGTTTAAAATATAATTAGAAATAGGAAAGCGAACCTTTTCTTAAGATATTAATATCAATATTTATAATTATTTTATTTCAAACTCAATATTTACTTTTTTTTAACGATTTTGCTTAATATTTTGTTTAAATTGGGAAAAAAATTCTATTTTTATATTATTTTAATAAAGAAGCTTTTTTATATTTTTACCATTTATGTTTGTTATAGGAATTTTTATTTATTTTTTTTGGTATTATAAAATATAAAGCATTTTTTAAAAAAAATAATAAAAAATTTATAATTTTTTATTATTTTTATCTAAAAAATATTAATTTTTTTAACGTACTACTAAGTTTACATATTAAAATTAAGCAACTTTAATAATTTTATTTATTATATATAAAATTCTAAGGTAATATGAAAATTATTTATAAATTTAATAATTTTTGCAAAAATTTTATTTTTATAAATATTTTATTTGTAATTTTTTGTTAATATTATTTTAATGAATTATTACAAATCTTTTTAATAAAATTTATGTTTTAGGAATCGGCTTTTTCATTGGTTTGCTTTCTTTTTGCACGCACGTATCTTTAATGTGGGCGTGGGTGGCTCTTCGCCTTATCGAGACATGTGACGTCCACTCCGGCTATGATTTTCCTTATAATCCTTTACATTTGATTCCTTATTATGGCGGTTTATTATTATTATTTTATTTATTATTTTTATTTTTATAGTCTTTTGAAAATTTTTTAAAGGCGGATTTTTTATTATTATAAAGTTTTGCTTATTTTGTTACTTTTTTTTTTTCTATATTCTTTTACAATTATTATTAAGTTTTTATCAAATTTATTACTTTTAATTTTTTAATATAAAAAATTTTTGCGATTGCTGTTTTTATTATTATTATTAACTTTGTTAATTTATTTATATTATTTTATTTTATATTATTTAGAAATATTGAAGCGGTTTTATTAATAATTTTATTAACTTTAAATTAATTAATATAATTTAATTACCTTTTTTTAATATTTTGAAAATATTGTAGAAGCGGTTTTATTATTATTTTAACTTTTATTAAATTTATTTATATAATAATCAATTTTATTATTTTTATTTTTTAATATTTTTAAAAGGTTTTGTTATTATAACTATTTACCATTAAATTTTGTTTTATTTATTAATATAATAATCTTTTTTAAATTACTACTATTTTTATATTTTTCAAAACTTTATAAAAGCAGTTTTCTTATAACTATCAACTTTTATTAAATTTATTAATATAATTTCAAATACTTTTATTTTTTAATATTAAGAAAATATATTAGAAGCGGTTTTTTATTATTACTAACTTTTATTAAAACTATTAATATAATATTATACTTATAATTTTTATATTATATAAAAAAATATTATAGTTGAGATTTATTATTATTAACTTTTGTCAAATTTATTCATATTTTATAGTTTTTGAAAATTTTTAAAGGCAGCTATTTTATTTATTATTATGAAACTTTTTTAAGTATATTAATATAGTCTTTGTAGTTTTTAAAAAGTTTTAAAGTTTTTATTTTTTTTATTAATTTATAAAATATAATTGAAAATGATTTTTTATAATAAGTTATAGAATAAATATTACTTTTGTAACTCTTAAAAAGTATAAAAATAAATAATTTTTTTTATATATTTTATAAAATTTTATAGTTTTATTTAATAATTATATTAACTTGCTTTTAGTTTATTATAAAATTTTCAAATTTTTTTCAAACCGGTATTAGAATTTTATTATCTTTTTTAATATTTTAAAAATGTTTATTTATTTTTTATCATTTATTATTAATAAAAATATTTCTATATAATTTTTAGTATAAATATAAACTTTGTAACTTTTATATATAATGGATATATTTTTTATATAATTTCCAATTTATTAAATATATTTATATAGTTATAATATAAAAATTTTAAAAAACTGATATTATAATTTTTTGATATTTAACTTTTTTTATTATCTTTTTTTAATATATTTATAATTTTTAATATATTTTTTTATTTATTATTATAATTATAATATTATATATAAACTTTTTTATTTGTAACTGAATTTTTTTAAATGAAACAAAAAAGTTATTGAAGTGCTATTTTTTATTTTAATTTATATTTTCAGCAGTTATAATTTTTATTTTTACTTTTTGTTAAATTTATATTTTTTATAAATATATCATATAAAGTTTTTATATCTATAAGTTATTTTTTATAATGAAATATAAAAATTTCAATACTGATATATTTAATAATTTTTTAACAATAATAATTATATATTTATTACTTTTGTTAATTAGCATTACACTTAAAGTTTTTATTATTATTAAAAATGTTTTATAAATTTTTATTTTAACTGAATTTTTTTCATGAAGTTTAAAATATATTATATACTGATTTTTTTAGCAATTTTAATTATTTTTTTATTATTTTTTTCTAATTAATTATTTTTACTCTTTTTTATTTATACTTTTTATAAAAATATTATTATAGTTTTATATTTATAAGTAATTTTTTTTTATAATGAGCTATAAAAACATAAAACTAATATTATTTTGTATTTTTTTTAACAGTCATAATATATATTTTTTACTTTTTTTATTTTCTTTTCTAATTTATAATTATACTTCATTTTAATGCTACTGATGGTCTTATTAAAATATTTTGAATAAATTTAATTAAATTTGATTGATTTCTTCTAATAAAATAAAAAATATTATAGACAATTTTTTTAGCAATTATAGTTTATATCTTTATTTATTTTTATATATTATTTTATAAAGTTATATTTAGAATATATAAAAACATAAACTGATATTTTTTTGTAATTATTTATATATTTATTACTTTTTGTTATTTTCTTTTCTAAATTCTAATTATATTTTATTTATTATTATTGATTATTTTAAGTACAATATCTTGAATAAATTTTATTGTAGGTTTTTTTTTAACAAAATAAAATATATTTTAGAGCGATATTATTTTTTAGCCTTGATAATTTATATTTATCACTTTTTATAATTTGTTATAATTTTTATATTAAAGTTTCATATTATAACTTATTTTTTTATTCTGAATATAATAATTAGTTTATTTTAAATCTGTTTTTTTTTAACAATAATTATTATATATTAATTACTTTTTTCTATGTATTATTGTTGGTTATAATTTTTATATATGTTGAAAGTTATTATTATTTTATATATTTATATTATACTTCCTTTTTATTACTTTTAAAAATATTTATTATATTATTTATTAGTAATATTCATGATTTTTTATTTAATTTTTATATATATTTAAACTTGTTATTATTAATAAATATACATTTTTGTTTTTTTTTAATATTTTAATATTTTTTTAAAAGGAGCAAATTTTTTATATTAATTTTATCAGATTTTTTTAAAAAATTATAATTGAAAAATTTTTTTTGTTATACTTTTTATTAATTTTGAGATTTTTTGTTTATTTTTTATATTTATATATATGTTACTTATTTATTAGTTTTACCATTATTATTTTTGCTTGACTTCCATACATTATATTTATACTTATTATTTTATTTTATTTATAAATTTTAAAAATATATAATTTTTTAATTTTTTTATATAAATTTATAAATTTTTCTTAAGGGGCAAAATTTCACGATTTTCATCACATGAATACAATTGGAAATTACTCTTCTACTTTCACGTGGTGGGACAAATTGTTGGGGACCGACAAACAATATGAAAATTATTGCAAAAAGATGGAAAAACTTCGAGAAAAAGAAGCTTAATTATATTATTTGCAACAACAACAATTATAATAATAATAAAATATTTTGTTTTAGAAGTTTATTTATTTATTTTTATTTATCATAATTTATAAAACTTTACTAATGTTGTTAAAATCTTTAAAAATATAAATTTTTGCAAAGTTGAAAAACCAAAAAAAAAATTTATTATATTGTAACAAAAATAACAAAAAAAATTTTGTAATATTTTTTTTTTGTTTATAATTTTTCTTTAACTTTTATTAATAATATATTTAATAAAATTTTATCAATATTTAAGTTTTATTATTTTAAATAAAATATAAAACTATTGCGAGATGGAAAAAACTTTAAGAAAAAGAAGATTGATTTTATTATTTGTAATAAGGATAATGATAATAAAATTTTTATAATAATATTTTGTTTTTATATTTTTTTGACTTCTATTAATAAAAATAAAATAAAAAATTTTTATTAATATAATTAAAATCTATTAAAGTTTTATTGTTGATAAAAAATATGAAATATATTGCCAAATGGAAAAACTTTAATAAAATATTTATAACAAAAAAAAGAAATAAAATCTTTAAAATAGTTTGTTATATTATCTTTTATTGAGTTTTATTAATTATAATTTATAAAACTTCATTAAAATTATTAAAAACTTTTTAAGTTTTAGAAAAAAATAGAAATATGGAAAAACTTTTAAAAAGATTTATTACATTTTTTGGAACAAAATTAATGATAATAAAATTTTTGTAAGATTTTATTTTGATATTTTTATTTAAATTTTTTTTTTAATACTATTTTTACTAAATCTTATAATATTTTCTAAATCTTTTACATTCTTTTATTATAAAAAAATAATATTGTGAAATGGAAAATTTTATAAAAAGATTTATTACAATTTCTGTAACAAATATAATAAAATTTTTGTAATATTATGTTGTTCTAAATTTAATTAATTTTAATAAAACTTTATTAACATTGTTGAACTCTTTTTAAGCTTTATATATTATTATTAAGAATATTGTTAATAAGTATTTTTACGGTGGTAGTGTGAGGGTTACTCGCCTGTGGGTTTCACGTATTATAAGCGAGTTGGCACAGGTTGGCCAGATTTTTTTTTTGTACTCCATCTACTCGCTCTGGTTTAAAGTGCAAGGTTCTTGGGAAAGCTAAAAATTGTCAAATAAATTGACAGTTTTTCTTTTAGTCCTTCGCCCTTCCTATGTTATATATATTTTTTGCAATATACTAGTTCTCGAAGCTATCAGCCTGTGAAGTCAATACTATAAAAACTATTAATATTTAACCTTTAAAAAAATTTAGTCGTGGAGCAAAAAATGGCTTTTTTTTCTTTCATAATTTAGAAAACAAGAATCTTTTAGCGCAGCATAAGTAAAGTGCTAGTAAAATTTTTTGTACTTGTAATTTTAAAGCGAGTTACGCAAGTTAAAAAAAAAACCAGCCCTTAACTAAAATTATTTTTCAAGCTTTCTTTTTTTAATAGATTTTTTTTAGAAAAAGTTGTGAAATATAATTTTTTTATTTGTATCTCTTATTTGTAGCATAACTTAGAAAAAATGAATATTTTTTGTGCAGCATAAGTAAATTTCTAGTAAATTTTATAACAAAGTTAGCAGTTTAAAAAAAAAGGAGCCTTACTTTTATTTAAGCTTTTTATAATAAATCTTTATAGGAAGCTCGAGAATAAGATAAGAAGATTTAGTGTCTAATAATTTTTATTAAAAAAAAAAGTTTGACTTATACTATTTAGCGCTACAAGACTTTTTATAAAAAAAGATGCTTACTTTGCAAAAGTCTACAATATTTTTTTACTTAATTCATGATTCGTATTTAATAAATAATAAACTTAATAATAAACGTATATAATAGTAAAAAAAATAATTAACATAATTAATAAAAATATTTATTTTCAGTATTTTTTAAATAAATAATAAAAATAATTGAGCTAACATTTATTAATACTTTAAAAAACTTCTATACTAGAATTGCTTAACCTTATAATTTGTATTTTTTCCAGTATTTTAAGGATTATTAAAATAACGTTTTTAGCAAAAGTTTAGATATACTATTTTTTTTAGTTTAAATAATAACAATAAAACGTTAAAATGAAACTTTTTTAATAATATATTAAAAAATTTATTTTTTTGATAAACTTATAACGAATTCTATGATTTGGAAACAGCTACACCAAAAATGCTTACATTTATCACTACAACAATAACTCTATTAAAATAAACATATCTAGCAAAAATCTCTTACTTTATAAATTCATTATTTTTTTTTATTTTATCATTTACCCATGTAGCAATAATAAGAAAAGGCAAACTTTTATTTTTAATTTATAACTAGGACTTTTAAATTGGGACATCTCTTTAGCAAAATTGTTTACAAATTAATTGTTTTTACTAAAATTTATAAGTCAAATTCTAAAATTTAAAAATTTATAGCAATAGAGGTTTTGTAAAATTTTACAATAACTTTTTACTTAACTCTAATCGTATTCTTTGATTCGGAACATCTGACATTTTAAAAAAACTTTAGTATTATTTTGCTATGCTAATAACAATAAATTAATAAAATAAAACGTAAAAAAAAAGTTGATAAAAATTTAAATTGTTCATTTATTATATAGCAAAAACTAACTCATATTTCAAATTTATGGAATAGAACACTTGTAAATTTTGTTACTGTTTAAGATTTTAAGAAAACCTTTTTTTTACTAAACTTATAACTCGAAAGCTTTAAATGAAATCATCTCTTTAAAATTTGCTAATAAACTTAAATTTATTTTTTTTCAAAAATTATGTTTATAATTTGGACCATTTCTAAAGTTAAAAAATTGCATACCTTTTTAAATTATGAGTTAATTATTAAATAGAGAATTACTACATCGTTTTTAATTTTATTTTTACACATGTAAACAAAATCTGATGACCTTATAAAATAATTTGCATTATAGCTTTATTAACAGAATTTAATATAAAATGTATAATTTTTTTAAGTGGAGGAATACTACGTCTTTATATATATATAAAAACCATGATAGTCTAATAAAATAAATTGCATTATAGCAATATAAGTAGACTTTGACGTATGTATAATAATATTTAAAATGGAGGGCTACGTCTTTAAAGTTTTAATTTTATTTTTTTTATTTAAAATAAATATTCCTAAATGTCTTAAAATAATTTGCGATATAGCAAAAATGTTTTGATTTTAATATTAAAACTATAATAAAATTAATTTATATTGGAGAAATACTACAACTTTAAAGTTTATATAATTTTATTTATTATATTTGAAAAAGTCCCTAAATAACTATTTGAATAATTTGCAATATAGCAAAAATAATTCGATTTTTATAGTATTAAAATTAAAAAATTTACTTAAAGGAAAAATTCTACATCTATAAAGTTTTGAATTTATTTTTTTTATTATTTATAAATCCCTAAAAGTCTTTTAAAATAAATTGCAGTAAAGCAAAAATTATTGAATTTATTATAAATTTTATAATATTTTAAAATGGAGAACAACTTCATTTTAAAAATTCTATTTCGTTTACTTTACTATTATAAAATTAAAAATAACTTTTAGCACATCCTAAAAATTCTATATACTTTGCTTTTACATAAAATTTAAATTAATTTTTTAAATGGAGAAATCCATCTTAAAAATTTTATTTTCTTTGCTTTTTTATAATCAAAAAAGTTATAATATTTTTGAATAAATATTCAATTTCTACATCTCTCGAATTTTTACTTTATTTCTTTTTACTTTTATACGCTGTTTTTATTTATTATAGAAATTAATAATATTATTTTTTCATAATACAGGCTTTCTAGTTTCAAAAGGTGGTTGAATGTTTTCTTTAATAAAAAAACGATCCATACATTTTGAAATTTCATCGTAAAGAGTAAAAACAATCGCAGAATCCAAGCAAACACGGCAGAGACGAGGGACTGTTCCTTTATAAAGTCTACAAAAAATTATTTTAAGTAAATTTTAATTGATTTTGTTTTTTATTTAAATTTAATTTCTTTTGAAATATATTTTTTTTATTAAAAATATATTCTGAAGAGCATAATATATTAAACAAATCCATATTAATAAATTTTAAAAAACACAAAAGTGCTTATTTTTATTAATTTAATAATTATAAAAAAAAATAAAAATAAAGTTGGCCATAGTTTATTTTGTATTCGATAATTTTTTATAATATTATTTATATTATTTTATTATTAGTAAAAAAAATTTACTTATAAAAAAATTAAAGTAAATTTTGAATATAAATTGTAATACAACTTGTGGTAAACTTATTTTAAATAAATTTATATAATATTATTTATATTAATAATTTAGTATTATTATAAAAAAATAAAAAAAATAAATGCTAAATCTAATATTTACTTCTAATGAAATAAAGGTAAATTTTGATTATTTTATCATAAATTTCAAATTGGGTAAACTTAATTTTGAATATTCTAAATATCTTTAAACAAAATTATAATTATTATTAAGAAATTTATATAAGATTAGTTATAGTAAAAGTTTAGTATTATTAAAAAAAATTAATAATTAATTAAATTGTTATTATAATATTTTTTTAAAAAAATTAAACTTTTCTACTTTTTAAAAAAATTAATGTAAATTCTAAATTTTAAATTCTAATATTATAATGTAATTAAAATTAATTTAAAAATTTTTTTAAATTTCTTTACTTTAAATAAAAACTAGTTAAAATTATTAGTTAAAAAATTTGTTTATATTATTTATATTCATATTATATATATATATATAAATTATATATGTTAAATTATTAAATTTAATAACTTTGAACAACATTGATAATTTTAATACAGAATTATAATTTTGAAAAATGAGGATAAATTTATTTTGTAAAGTTATAAATTTATAAATTAAAAATAATATTATTTATATTAATATTTTATATTAAGAAAAATTTATTTTAAAATTTTTAAAATTAAATTTATTAT